CGTCTATATTTTCCGAGGTTCGTGGTACATGCCCTTTTTCAAAAAAATATTTCTATATCTATATGTTTTAGATGGACCACTGCTAGTAGTTTTCGCCTAAACTAAAAATGAGCTTTTCTGATCACATTTCTTCTGTAGTCCGTCCGTCCGTCTGTCTGTAAACTTTTTAACATTTTCGACTTCTTTTCGAGAACAATTTGGCTAATTCCAACCAAACTTGCCTCAAATCATCCTTGGGTGAAGGGGATTCAAGTTTGTTCAAATGAAAGGCCTGCCCTATTTCAAGGGGAGATAATTAAGAAATAGTAAAAATTTGGTGGCATGTTTAAAAAATCTCCTCGATAACCACTTGATCTGGAAAGATGAAACTGTGGAACATTCTGGGGTTAAGTACATTCAATTTTTTTTTTTTTGGAAATCATGAAACCGGGGGGTAGAATGTGGCCAAAATATGTAAAGATATGTAGGGGGAAAAGCCACAGTTAGTCAAAGAAAATAAATATTTAAGCATTTAGTGTAGAAGTATTTTCAATAATAAACCCCTCTCTTTTAGGGGTAGGTTGGTACCACTTTTGCGTCTAAGCTTTGCACAACTTGATTGATTTTTGTTTTTTCCTAGCCATGTGCCCATGGACCTATCGTTGTATATGTGTATTATTGATTATTAAGTTTCAAATGGGTAGCAACTGCTCCTTTACCAAGCGCTGGGCACTTGAAGTAAAAGTTGCGGGTCCTTTGGATAAAAATCCGAGGCCCCGTGCCAGGGCAGATGTTAGCACGATAAAGATCCCTCAATGGTCAATGGCCCTGGGTGCCAAGTAAAGATCAAAGGTAAAAATTTGAAGCCCTTCACCGGTAAATGGTGACCGTTCTATCTACATGAGTTAAAGATTCTCGAATGGGACGTAAACCAACATACAAACAATCATTCAATCAATCGAATCTTGGCCGCGACTGTCTTCAGTCGACAAAAAATAGGTAGCAACTATTCCTTCGCTATGTACTCGGCACTTTAATTGAAGTTGCGGGTCCTTCGGATGATACATGTATCTAAAAAAAACCACGATCTGATGTTACGGCAGGTGTTGGCACTATAAAAAAAAACCCTCACTTCTCAAAGGCCCTGATTGCCGAGTAAAGATTAAAATTTAAATCCCTTCACCGGTATAAGGTATCAATCAATCAATCAATCAAATATGTGAAACTTACAAAAAAATGATAAAATTTAAAACTAAATATTTTTTCTTAAATAGTTTCTTGCAATTTTTTTTACTTTCATTCAAATTAAAACTCTTTGAAACTTTCTATTCATTATACCTTATTGCATGAAACACTCAAAATTAAGAAAAGAAGATTATAATGTACATGTAGCACAACATGACGCCATAACAGAGGTGTATTAACATGTTTGTTAGAGTTTGTGAAACATTGGTAATAGAGAAAATATCGTTTTTTTTTTTTTTACAACAGTCAGCATATTAATAACAACAGTGTCCTATATTCTTGTGTTTGCTTTATGTCACCATAGGGGATGTTGAGAATAATTATTTGCATTCTCCTTTAATTAGGCTCAAGTGAGCTTTTCTGATCACATTTTGTCCGGCGTCCGTCTGTCTGTCTGTCTGTCTAGCTGTCCGTCTGTCCGTCTGTCTGTAAACTTTTCACATTTTCGACTTCTTCTCAAGAACCGCTGGCCCAATTTCAACTAAACTTGCCACAAAGTATCCTTAGGTGAAGGAGATTCAAGTTTCTTCAAATGAAGGGCCACGCCCTCATTCAAGGGGAGATAATTGGGAATTAATGAAAATTTGGTAGCATATTTTAAAAATCTTCTCAAGAACCACTCTGCCAGGAAAGATGAAACTTATGGGAATACATCCTCAGGTAGTGTAGATTCAAGTTTTTTTCAAATCATGACCCCCGGGTGTAGGGCGGGGCCAAAATGGCCGACCAAAGTTTTACATAGAAATATATAGGAAAATTCTTTAAAAATCTTCTTCTCAAGAATGACAAAGCCATAATTCATCATATCTATATGGAAGCATGCTCAGGTAGTGTAGATTCAAGTTTGTTCAAATCATGACCCCCGGGGGGGTAGAGCGGGGCCAAAATGGCCGACCAAAGTTTTCATAGAAATATATAGGAAAATTCTTTAAAAATCTTCTCCTCAAGAATGACAAAGCCATAATTTATCATATTTATATGGAAGCATGTTCAGGTAGTGTAGATTCAAGTTTGCTCAAATCATGACCCCCGGGGTTAGGGCGGGGCCAAAATGGCCGACCAAATTTTACATAGAAATACATGTATATAGGAAAATTCTTTAAAAATCTTCTTCTCAAGAATGACAAAGCCGTAATTCATCATATATATATGGAAGCATGTTCAGGTAGTGTAGTTTCAAGTTTGTTCAAATCATGACCCCCCGGGGTAGGGCGGGACCAAAATGGCCGACCAAACTTTTACATAGAAATATATAGGAAAATTCTTAAAACATCTTCTTCTCAAGAATGACAAAGCCATAATCCATCATATTTACATGTATATGGAAGCATGCTCAGGTAGTGTAGATTCAAGTTTGTTCAAATCATGACCCCCGGGGGTAGAGCGGGGCCAAATTGGCCGACCAAACTTTTACATAGAAATATATAGGAAAATTCTTAAAACATCTTCTTCTCAAGAATGACAAAGCCATAATTCATCATATTTATATGGAAGCATGCTCAAGTAGTGTAGATTCTAATTTGTTCAAATCATAACCCCCAGGGGTACGGCGGGGCCAAAATGGCCAACAAAAGTTTTTAGAGATATATATAGGAAAATTCTTTAAAAATCATTTTCTAAAAAATAGCAAATGCATGATTGGTCATGGGACTACTTTTGGATTTAAATTTTACAATAAAAAGCCATTTTCAACAATTTCCTACCCTTAGTGCTCAGGTGAGTGATGTGGCCCATGTGCCTCTTGTTTGCTTTAGTGACCAATTCCTAATTTTTGAAAACAATTGAGTTTTTTTGAGAATCTCTTTAAAAATTCCTATTTGTCAATAACTGTGCAAAATCCACATAATTTCCTGCAATTTTTTTTGTTTCAGTCTCCCCGAGACATTGTGCCCCAAAGAATCATTAACACTTTATTTGGCATTTCTTAACAATAAGTTTCATCCACATTTAATAAAACTTCCTCACCCAAAGCCTTGTCGTCTTCCTCTGCCTGCTTTTCATTTTCTGGGGCAGCCTTCTGCTTCCTTGCGGGGACTGCCCTTAATTTCCTCCTTCAACATGCGCTTTCCTGTAGCTGTCTCATTCACTTTTGCTTTGTCCACCACCATTTTGATTATATATGTATCTGAGGTCTGAGTGTAATCAGAAAAAAGAAGCTTAGTCTGAGAACGCACCCGTTATATTATGCTACTTTCCCCCTCCCACTAGAGGTTTGATATACAGCTAGTTGTATATGTTGTCGCCCTTCCCCCGTATAACAATTACTGCTGTCTTTCTTTAATAAACTCATCTATTTTTTAAATTAATGAATGTGTCATAAATGGTAATTTCAAAACAGTCCATTGTTTAGAAATGGAATTGATTAAAAGATATGTGCAAGGACCCATTTAAACGTTTATAAATCACACATGGATGTGTTCAATGATTTTTAATTGAAATATATTTTGTTGAATAAATCAATAGGTATCCGGAGACAGGCAAAGCCTATTATATTTCTCCAAGACAAAAACAAAGAATGTTACTTGTACATTGCAATGGAAAAAAAATTATCAGAAAAGGTAACAAAATCAAGATAGGCACTATAACCTCATATTTTTTTTCGTAAACTCTTAAACGTATTTACATTGCAATGGAAATAAAAATCATCCAAAAAGGTCACAAAATCAAGATAGGCACAATAAACTCATATGTTTTTCGAAAACTCTTTAATGTATTAAAGATTCACTTTCACACAAGAAAAAAACAACGAATATTTGCATTAAATATATAGTACCAATAGTGGTAATACGCTATTGTTTAACAGGTTGGGACCACTCGCCCAAACAGGATGTAAAAGTCCGTTTGGGATATAATATCCCAAATGGGATATAAATGTACAGTGCAAGAAATGAAAATTTTTATTTTGGCTATAAATATCATAAATCTGCATTAGGACACTTAAAAGGAGTAAATTTTAGTAAGCAAGTTTTTCTGCAACCCTACAGTTTGTAATATTGATCCCCAAGAAGTTATGGAACATCCGAGGGATCAATCTCCTAAACAAAGGTCATACAGAAGAAATTGTCAACCAAAAATGATTCCTTTATAGTAAAAGTGTCCTGATGCGGATTTATGATGTTTATAGCCAAATTAAAAAAAAAATTGCATTGCAAATTTATATCCCATTCGGAATATTATGTCCCAAACGGACTATTATACCCCATATTGGCGATTGGTCCAAACCTGTTTAATGTCATATTTGATGTTTTCATCATTATGACATCTTTACCAGGATTTGTAAAATTTTGATATTTTCATATCTGTTGCGATGTCTTTCCTCTTCCTTGAATCCATGAAGTCCACATAGATACAACCATGATTAATCAAAATAAATTGCTTTAAAAATCTTCAGTTACATTACGTAAAAAAAATCTCGTAATCTGCAGAAGACATCAGAAAATGTATCTGGCACGAGAAAAATATAGGTAAATATCTTTTGATATTTACTTTTTATAAAAATCACTGAGTAATTACACCTTATGCTTATTATTGCTTATCTATATCAAAAGTTTCCGAAATTACGTGTCTTAATTTGTTTTTCGTTATTTTCATGAGATTAAAATATTTTGTATGTTCAAAGTATAAATTACACTTTGTAATATATCAGAAACAACACTGATATATATTTTATACAGTTTATCTAATAAGCACAAATATATATACAGCCTGACTACATTGGATATCAGTAAGCAAGTAAGTGTCTTTGTACCAAATCATTTTATATTTTTTGTCTTCAGAGCCTGGGAATCAGGAAATGTAGGTGACTCAATTTCAGAATAATGTCGGTAGGTTACTGAACTCTGTGAGAGTCAGAGAGCTAACTTTGCTTACGTGTCAAATCAATTATAAACAGATTGTGATACAATTCTAGTAAATTCCAAAACATTACAATCCTCCCCTCTTTGAATTTATACTAAACAGATGGACATACAAAAAATTTAAAAATGAGGTTAAACATTTTCTCAAGAGTCAAGTGCCTTCGTTTCAGCAACAAATGTTTGTTTAATAAAACTGTCATTGTCGCGTGCCGTTAAAGGGTCGCACGTGGTTGATGTTTCGATAAGTAGCTCTACCATTAATGTCAATCTTCACAGCACTGCCCTCGTGAGATATAACTGTGAACGGTCCATTCCATTTTGTGTCTAACTTGGATTTTGGCATATTGTTCTTTATCAGCACTCTCTCCCCCGCAAGCAATTTGACAGATTTTACGTTGAGCAATCGGTCTGCATATGTTTTAATTCGAATTTTATTTCTTCTGTCCCGACGGTTAAGAATTCTGTTCCTTTGATTATGTGGCAATTGTGGAATTCTTGTTCTCAATTCTCTGCCGAACATTAATTTTGCAGGTGATTCTCCTGTTGTGCTGTGCGGTGTATTCCGATAATTTAGGAGAAATTTATATATTTCAAATCTCCAATCCTTGCGCTCTACTTTTGCGATTTGTGCAGATTTCTTTAGTGTTGCATTGAACCTTTCAACCTCTCCATTAGCTTGAGGCCAGTACGGTAAAGTGCTGTGATGTTTAATTCCGTTCCGCGCTAAGAAATTTTCAAATTCATCCGATATGAATTGTCTGCAGTTGTCTGTGACTATTTCTTCTGGTAATCCATAGGTTGCAAAAATTCTCACTAGTCGTCTAATAATAGCTTTTGAAGTTACAGACTTCATGATTTCGATTTCTGGATATCTGGTATAGTAATCAACTATTACTAATACTTGTTCTCCGGTTGGGAATGGTCCGCATAAATCCATTCCTAATTTTTCCAAGGTCCTGTGGGTAGGTCTGTCATCGTAACGGGTGCTCGTTGATTTGCTTTACATACCATTTGACGTGCATGACATGACAATACAGCGGTTTCAACATCTTTGTCCATTTTTGGCCACCAAACTTTTTCTCGTAATAGTGCCTGACTATCTGACATTTCTACGGCCTTTGATATTTCCAGTACTTTCATCAAGTTGAGTTCTTTTTCTGGTAGAAATCTTCTTGTTAGTGCTGTTGATTTGCATTTATCGATGACCTGATCACGGATATTGTCATCTTTTGCCACTCCAAAGTCGCAAGATATTGCAATTGCAAGTTTTTGCAATCGTGTCACAAAATTTGTAACTGTTTCATTTTCATTCTGTGATGCCTGACGAAACATATGTCTTTCGAAAGCAACGTTTTTTCTGGGTGCAAAGTAAGTATTTAAATCATTAACAATATCATCGAAGTTCTCACCTGTATGTTCAATAGTATCATATATGTCCTGAACTTCAGGTCCTGCTAAATGTAGGAGAAGTGCACGTTTTTGTTTCTGAGTAGTAACTCCGGATGCTTCCATATAATATTTGAATCTCTTCATCCAATCTTCCCATCTTTGGGCTACATTTGTTAGTTCTCCTCCTATCACGAACTGAGGTACACAAGGTAAATCGATTTTCGCTGCCATATCTTCAAATTTAATTGAGTCTCAGATCTGACTTCTCCAACGAATTAAATCACAGAGTTAACATGTTTTGTACATCCTCGTCGCCATTGTAATATATCAGAAACAACACTGATATATATTTTATACAGTTTATCTAATAAGCACAAATATATAATACAGCCTGACTACATTGGATATCAGTAAGCAAGTAAGTGTCTTTGTACCAAATCATTTTATATTTTATAGTCTTCAGAGCCTGGGAATCAGGAAATGTAGGTGACTCAATTTCAGAATAATGTCGGTAGGTTACTGAACTCTGTGAGAGTCAGAGAGCTAACTTTGCTTACGTGTCAAATCAATTATAAACAGATTGCAATTCTAGTAAATTCCAAAACATTACACACTTACAAAGAGATTTATCTCTGAAGATGAGCTATAGATATTATCAACATTAGAGAAGCTTTATGACCATTGCATGGAAATGAAAATATCAGAGTAATGTTTCTTTTGAGTAGCTCTGAATATTTAAAAAGAAAACATTTGTATATGTTTTCAAGTGGTTGACGTTTACAAACATTACCATACTTGTGAAGATATATAAGGAAATAACATATTCACAAAACTGCTCAAAATGAACACAGTACATGTATACTGTTTTATGGGAAAATGTTGTAAAGAAATAGTGCCCTTTACGATGGTAACTGAAATACACAATTAAGTTTTACATGTAAGCTAAATGTCAATGATATTTTAGTATTTTATTTTCAGGTAGTTGCTTGAAAAAATCCGCTTTGTTAACTAAATAAATGTGATTCTTTCTTAATATAAAAATTAAATTAATGCGAGTTTACGTACGAGGGATATAATATGTGGCGGGTTTATTTTTTTTAGGAAATGATGTCTACTTTGCATTAATATGGGTCAAAGATGTTGCTTCGATCATTAATTTTCTAATGAAATGTAACATTTGTTTTGTTGCTTTTTCGCTATGTTCCCCATGATACATGTATACTGGATGATAAGTCCGTGTCATTCTCTTCATCGATATTCAAAGTCTGACAACAAGTACATGTATTGAAACCACAAAATTGTATTTTATATAGGTTACTGTAATTTTTAAAAATCTGTTTATAAACAGTTCATGAATATTTTCCAAACGATGTCACGTTCTTATCTTTTTCGTGATTTCATTTGATAAGTCTTTTCACACAGCTTCTCGCCGCACGTTACTTTTTTTTTCAAAGGAAGATATAGCTGTTATCTCAGGGAGGTAATTTACAGGATATTAAATTCTAATGTTTTTATCAAATGAACTTACAGAACGTGATTTCTTTTAGACATTATTATCAAGACAGCTCTACAATACTTACAAATTTACAAAAACAATTACCGATCCATAAAGTGCAAAATAAGTGGCCCGGTGAGTTAGTTTACCATTAAAAAGCTTTAAAAAATGCAGAAACCTTTCTCTAAGAGGGGGTTTGAATTTCACAAAATTGAATCTACACTATCTTAAAATGCTTGCATATTTTTTGTCTGATGTGACTTTTTACTACAAATTTGAACTCTCATGATGGCCACACCCTACTACCCCTTGGGGTCACGATTTGAACAAACTTGAAACTAGACTAACTGTGGATGCTAACAGATAAATATTACAAAACATTCCTTCGTTCTCGAGAAGATTTTCATATTTCTGTTAAACTTTGCCATCAAGGGTTCATGATTTGTGTCAAACATGATAATTAACACCGACTGATTATGCTTCCATAAAAATGTGACCAGTCATAGCTTTTATATACTTTAGGAGTATATTTTTGAAGATTTTTCTTATGTTATCCTATGTTAATCTTTGATTGTCCACTGTGACCTCACCCTACCCCAGGGGTTATTTTTTGACTAAAGGACAAAATATGCTTATATCTCTTTTTGGCCCCTGGTTTTTGGGTAGTGTCTTTTAGAATTATAAGATTATCAGATATAAAACTATTCTATAAAAGCCTTTTGTGTCTTTTTTAAAATATTAAAAGTCCCTTTTAACTACTGTAGGAATTCTACTATAGTTATGCTTTATTAATTGTAATTCAAAACATATTATCTCTTTAAATACACCAACTATCTGAAACTCATCTTTGAGAAAATAAAAGAATTAAATCCTACCAAAAATTGAAGTACTGCCAGTCATAAGTTTATGACGTTCTACGATCTCATTCCTAGAGATCACGCCTCTATATATAATGTATAAAGTCATGATTCAAAACAACCAGGGTATTTTATGTTATGCTTGCAAAATACATTTTTTAAGTAGAATGAAGAAGTCACAATTTACTATTCTCACATATCTGTTTATTTCTTTGACTTTTGGATATGTTCTGTCAATTGGAAATGATTCCAAAAAGGAAAATAAATTGTTTCGCAGTCCGACATCTGGAAAGCCATTCAACATTTTACGGGAAATTCTCACTCAAGAATCTTCTTTGCGTTCTTCTATGGTGCAAAAAATTCAGAATTTGGTTAGGGATGCAACAGCCAAGAAGAACATCACCAAATTATTATGGGAGAAGCTTGGTTATTTGGGAAACAAAGTAAATGATTTACAATTAAAGAATCTTAGACTGGAAGAAACCTTGAATGAATCATTGGAAGATTTCAATCAAGATCAGAATAAAACCAGCACACGGTTACAGAGCATTCCTCCTCTACCGCAGTCAAGTACGAAAATAATTATTTTCTTTCTTATAAGTACTAATAAATTAATACGTTAAGAAATATGTTTACCGTTTTCATTCAAAATGGTATATCGAGTACGCAAATAAGGATAATAATATTAAATTCAATTCACTATTTTCAACACCCAAAATATCTAATAGATTAAGGATAAGTGACGTTTTCTCTTACATTATTTATTTTTTTTAATATTTTATTGTAACGATGATATCTCTAAGTCACTTAATATCTTAATTTGCAGAAAAGTAAACATTTCATTTGTAATTTCTGTTAATATTTTACATGCATAAAACTTTAAAAGGGGAATACTAACGATACATTGAGGGATAAAAATACATGTAAGCCCACAACCAGCTATCGTACCTTGACACATGGAAGCTCTCTACAAAATTTTAGTTGTTTGTTTATCAAGATATGTCAGAATATATTATAATATCAAGTATTTAAAATGGCAAAACCCTGAATTGTCTTCTATAAGAGTAATATCCTACAATATACATTTATAAAATCTTTCATATCATATCAAGAAAATTGGTCTGGCCCCTCAAATTATTGGCTCAGAGAGGCAAAGAGTACTGTATTTCGTCTATAACTCTTTAACGATCAATATTTTGTTAGGGATACTGAAGCAAAAGTGTATCTATCAAAACGATTCACAGCTTCATATTTTGATCATATGCGACATAATTGAGGGTCACAAGGACGTGTAGAATGTTTAGTCTTTAACGCTTTATACCTCGAAAAGGTGGGACTATTTTGATAAGCAATACTGAACAAAAGATGGTCAAAATACTGATTTAAACAAATATTATTCCTTTCATTTGTCAAACAGCCAAAGCTGGCTCCTAAATATTTCCATTAATGATATCTCTACAACGAAAAAGAATGTCGTAACTGTTGTTGAATTAAGTTTTTAAAATTACAAGACCTTTCATTTGATACAAAAAAACGGGGTCCCGACGGTCCTCAAGCTAGATAACCAGAGAGGGCAAAAGTCTGTCATCTATTGCTCTTGTATAAAGTTATACAAATCAAACAGATATAATCTAGTAAGGAAAGTCTATATATTATCTTTTGACAAAGATCGTAGTCAAAATTATTCTCATATCTCATTTTATCGAAAAATCGAACGGAAGACCTACCCGAGTTCTAATCTAGTTATTGTTAATATATGATATATCATATTCTGTGAGTGGGATATATATTGGATCTCCCATAATTTGTAGATGGATATGAGTTTTATCAAACGAGTTGAATGGGGTTTTTTATCTTCGAGCCAAAGCTCACACAACTCGTCGAGTAAAAATCATATCCAAATACGAGTCATGTGAGATTCTTTTTATCCCATGTTTTACATTTTGTTTTATACACCACAATCAATGTTTTACAGTGTTCTTATATAGGATTCCACTTTAATTTACTTCATTGCGCTAATGCGAAAACCTTTGTGATGTCACAACTGTAGGATACGAAAACGATTATATCACATGAGGGATAAAGGGGTAAACATGGGCTAAATAAATGTACAAACATGCATAAATGGATTAATTTTTTAACAGATTGATAGAACTAAATTAATTATTTCTTTTACGTGTTTGGACTGTAATACCATGTACAATCAATATAAGTATGCGAATATGATGCAGCAAGACTTATTTTTAAAATCACTTAATGGTTTCCTGTGAATTTACCAGTGTTTTGGACACTGTGATATTTTTTTATCAATTACAAAATGCGTAGGAATTTAAAGAAAAATTTGTCTTACATGCTTTTTAACATTTATATATTTTTTAGAAATGTCTTGTTTTCTTCCTTTTGATTGTTACGACATCTACAATTGTGGAGAAAGAAAAACTGGTGTTTATGAGATCTATCCTATCTCACGTTTTATCTCTACTCCAGTTCTGTGTGATATGGAATCCAAAGGAGGCGGTTGGACGGTAAATATAAAACACCTTACCCCCGGTAATATTTAACAAAATTCTTATATCCAAACTTTCTTTAAATTTAAAATGTTTTTCATTATTATTAATCATTTAATGCTTATAAGATAAGTACCCTCTGATAAAAGACATTTATTCAAATTCTCTCTTTTTAAGAAAAGCACATTTAAGTAGTACATGTAGCTGAAGCATTGTCCTAAAATCTGTCATTGATACTTCAGGTTATTCAGCGCAGGAATCGAGAAAGTCCCTATGTAAATTTCAACGCCGCTTGGGACGAATACAAGCGAGGTTTTGGGGATGTTCCAGGGATGTATTGGCTTGGTAAGCTTAATATAGTTGCCCTTAAACTTTATTATTAAACTACAAAAGCCCAGAAGACTCATTCGAGATTCGAGTTTCGAAACACGAGATTCGAAATTCGAGTTTCGAGATTCAATATCCAAACTAACCAATCAAAAGGCAGTTTCAACATTTGATTACTCCCCTTTATTATGTTTTTACTGTCGAGAAATCGTTGAATTACAAATGAGACATTTGCTTGAATAATAATACAAGAAAAAATGATATGGTTACATTTTGAAAAATATACATCATACACTTATCCACTGGTTGTGAGTGGGATAGCTCTTTTATCAAACCTGCAACAGGGACTATTCCCCGAGGGCTTGCCCGAGGGGAATAGTCCCTGTCAAGGGTTTGATAAAAGAGCTATCCCACTCACAATCAGTGGATAAGCGTTTTATTATACTGATGTATAATATAATTTTTGCATTTTTTTTTTGAGTAAGACAATACTGCAAAAATAATCTGAAATCCTGATGACATCACAATGCTACTGAAGTCATTATGACATCATCAGTCAATAGATTTATCGCTGGAACTCAATATTGGGGGCAAACATTGCATAAAAATTTTCCGAGGGTCGATAGCAAAATCTTATTTTTCCTCATTAAACAAAACAATAGATACGTATATAGAATAATATATGGTCTTCTCTAAGTAGGTCAACTATTTTTTTTAATAAGAACATTGATGAGTGAGAAAATTATTATTTATATGAAATTCTACATGTATTGAGGGTACATTTCATTACATTGTGCCCCCCCCAATAATTTTGCTGATATATAGAATACTTTAGAAAACATAACTACTATATGCTTGTGTCCCCTCAAATTTGTGCCCCCTCAATAGAAACGTCTGATGGCTTTTTTTTTGGGTGGGGGGTTGTTTGTTTGTTTTTGTTTTTGTTTTTTTTTTTTGGTTGTCAAAAAGTTTTTGGAAGTTGAAAACTGTAGGATTGCCCCCCCCCCCCCCCCATGAAATGACCTTAATAGTTTTACTGGTATATTTTAGTCTTTGAGCATAACACTATGGTCAGAGACTAAAATATTATACGGACTCTTTTGGTGTTGAATATGGATTGTTATTCACCAGAAAAATATTCATATCGAATTCATAACGACCGAGGCGAAGCATGATAATATCTCTGTATCTGTATGTATACGTTGTAGAATCCTATATAGGCATTTTCACAATGGTAAGAGAGAGAGCGCCGGATGTTATTGGCGTCGATGTTCCTGTAGGGCGGTCTTAAATCCCTCTATTGATTTCGCATGTACGACAGAGTTGGGTAGATGGTTCCACTCAATACACGTATCCACAAAGAATGAGTGCTGATATTGTGGTTTAATACTGGTTGGTATTACTAAGCCTTTATTGTTGTTGCACACGTTTTTGTATAATGTTTGTTGTCTGATGGTCTTTATATTGTTTTGGTTTGATTTGGCGTTTTTCTTTGGTATGTTTTACGAATAGATGAGGTGGTAGTGCCGGTGTAACGTTGAATATCGACCCCAGTTGAAAATTGACCCGGGGTTCATTTATCAACGTTGAATATTGAACCAGGGGTGTTTTTTCACCGTTGAAAATTGAGACCAAAAGTCGTTGAATTTATACCCGGGGTCATTTTTCAACAGTTTGATAATTTTTTTTCTTATCCCCGATGATTTCAACAAGTTGAAAATTGACCCTGTTGAATATTGACCCCACCTCAGAGTTTGAACATTTTTTTTTTTGAATTGGGAAGTTGTTTTACGGGATTTATCAGTACCTCTATATTTATATTTCGGTTTCAATTTTATTTCCCTTTTCCAGAATAATATAAATACACCTATCATCCCGTATATATACATGTATGTACAATTTTGATCAGTACACGATTTCAGTTATCTTCAAGCATGACAACTTTAATTTGACAATACTTTTTACTTAAAATCCACATCCATAAATAACTTCAAAACTATGAATAGGGCATAAAACAGAAATCTTGGAAATCTGGTGTCTAGAAAGTGAGCCCTACATAATATTATATTGATTAGGTGAGCAGAACATCCCGTCTTGTCAAATTCAGTTAATAAAAATTAAGAAAATTAAAAGCCTTAAAATTAGAATATAACACATCGGTCAAAATGAATCTAATGATTGGTTATATTTGTGAAAAGATCAATATAGCGAACATAAAATGTAAGTAATCTGACTTAAAACAAGGTTGGTGAAATCCCTGTTACAAACGTATCTGTCAGTAGCCTGCCTCGGCCTAAAAATGGATTGTTTTCGGAACATTACCTTGAGAATGAGACGAGAGTTAGAGTCTGGGATGGACTAAAAGCTACACTTCCCACCATCTTTGATATCATCAATAAACAAAAAACATATATTGACGCAGGCGTCAAAAATCGGCCGAAAACCAATTAATTATTCCTTTAATGAAGCAATTACAAACTGAAATGCGTGATCAGTTTTTAAAATGTCTTATATATTTATCTGTTATGACATTGAATGATTTTCTTCATACATGTATATGAAACATGTTTAGCATCACATGTATAAGCAAACTACCCCTGTATAGGCGTCGAAACCGGGGGGCTAGGGGGAGGGTGGGGCTTAGCCCCCCCCCCCCCCGTTTTTTTTTTTTTTTTGCAAAGACAGACATTTTATGCATTTAAAATTGGAGCTTACCTTTTTTGTTGGTTTAGCCCCCCACTTTCAATTTGCTTCCGACGCCCATGCCCTGGTTCTCTGCGTCTCCACACTCAGTTTAGTACAAACAAAGTCTGGTGGAAGTTTGTTGTTTAAGTAGCATTTACATAAAAAAAAACTTAAACTAAAGTTTAAAGTTATCTACAACGAGTCAGTAGAGATAGTTTTACTTTAATAAAAACGCATAAAAACGGATCTAGAGGGATTTTGTTTTTTCTTCTTTTTTTGGGGGTAAAAAAGAAGAAAAAACAAAGTCCCTCTAAATCCGCCACTACATTTCTTCTCTTTCAGCTTCTTTGAGATGCAGCGGGAAAGTTCTTGGCACATTTTAAAACACGCGTTATCCTCATCTGCTAGAGCAAAATCTCGTAATATTCTAAATTTTGATAAATTAATATTTAACTATATTTTTGAAAATTTTTCGTAGGAAATTTTTATATATATACATGTATGACGAATTTAAATGAAGAGTTGTTAGCAAACAAAAAATAAATAAATAAAATAAAAATAATTAAATAAACAAACAAATTTATGAACTAAGTTGTATATTGTGTAACTATGTTTTCTAATATTCAGGATTTATATCTTTTAAAATAAATATTACACGAAATATTGCGACTTTAAGATACATGTAACTGTGAAATCTAAGATACTTTTTAAAATATTTTATTCTAAGAATATAACTGAATAACTGAATTAAGAGTGCATTGATTACATTGGTGTCGGAAGCAAATTGAAAGTGCGGGGGGGGGGGGGGGGAGTAATTGAAAAAGAAAAAGGATTCAAATCTGAAATAAAATTGACAAGAAAAAGAAAATTTGTCCATTGTCCAAACTAGTAGTCCAAACCCAAACCTAAAAAGCCTATTGGTCGGAGAATCTAATTTTTTTTCAAGCGTTAATACTTACTCTTCTTTCTTTGACTACACTGTAACGTGCCTGTTGAAAGCGGGGGGGGGGGGGGGCGGGGGGGCTAAACCAATTTCACATTGTTCAATGCCTATATTATATCTAACTTTGCAAAAAAGGGGGGGTGAGCATCCCTAAAACACACCCCCTTCCCGACGCCCATCTAATAAATCATCTATTAAATGAAAACCAAGTCATAAATATGTGTTTTTATGCTGTTGAATTTTGAACCGGTTTCAAGATGAAAATTCCACGACCCGGCTCAGTTTTCAACGGACTAGGGTCTTAATTCAACACCTTTGGTCTCACTATTCAACGTTGAAAAATGACCCCCGGGTCAATTTTCAACCCGGGTCAAAATTCAACGTTACACCGGCACCAACCCCTCAACCACTTTGTACATTAGAATTAATCGCAAACTTGTTCTTCTTTCCTCTAGTGTTTCAATGTTGAGACTTTCCCTCATGGATGTTAGTAATCCTGGATTCCTACTGCTGTTCTCCTTTTTTATGAATCTTATGGCTCTATTTTGTATTCTTTCTAACTTGTCAATATCCCCTTTGAGGTATGGGTTCCAGATAGTTGCTCCATATTCCATAATTGATCTAATTAGGGATATATATGCTGTTTTTCTACATTCTTCAGGGACATTTCGGAGGTTTCGTCTTAGGAAGCCTAGTGTGTTATTTGTTTTCTTACTGATGTTGTTTATATGTAGACTCCATTTGAGATCATTTGATATTTCAAGTCCAAGGTATGGGTTGTTTTGTACTTCTTGGAGTATGTGGCTGTTAAGTTGGTATAGTTTTGTTGATTTTTGATTGATTGACATAATGTAGCACTTTTTAGCATTGAATCTCATGCCCCACTTATTTGCCCAGACCTTAGTTGGTTGAGGTCGTTTTGTAGTATCTGATGGTCTTTGTTGCTCCTGATGGTTCTATATAGGAGGCAATCGTCGGCAAATAGGCGTACAGACGAGCTGACAGCGTCTGGTAGATCGTTTATGTGGTATAGGAACATTAACGGGCTGAGTACTCTCCCTTGTGGCACTCCGGAGTCTACTGATGTTTCCTCTGACTCTGTTCCCTCTACTATTGTTTTCATTTTCCTTGTTGTTAGGAAGTTGTTTAGCCATGTGTGGAGTGTTCCTTGGATGCCGTATTGATGTAGTTTGTGGAGTAGTTTGTCGTGAGGTACGGTGTCAAGAGCCTTTGAAAAATCTAGGATGGCTACATCGACTTGATGTGACTTGTCGTGTTCAGTAAGGAAGTCGTTGAGTGTTGTTAGGAGTTGGGTTTCGCATGAGTATCCTGATCTAAAGTCGTGATTTAGGTTTGTAAGTATGTTGTTTGTTTCCAGGTGTTTCATGAT